CCCCGCTTAAAGTTGTTCATACTTTTACGTCAAAGACTGAAAGTAACAAATAAAATACAAACCTCATTAATTATGTGTTACCCATAGGCACAACTCATAAATGATGAGTATGGGACTCACACTACTGTGTGTGGGACTCTCTGGATTTTGGCTGTGTGAGTCCCTGGACTACTACTGCCTTTTTCTAGATGGATCACTGCCTGTCATTTAAAAAATCCTCAGAAATCTCACCATTATCATTTAGGACAGAGAAAACAGACGTGTGAAAACAACTTCCTTGACAAATTTATATAGCTCATCAGGCAATAGCCGATGTTGAGATCCTGTGACACTGCCTGTTTAATAATAATAATAATAATAATAATAATAATAATTTAATATTTATATTGCGCAAATTAACATGTGGATATGATCAAATGCGCATCACAACACTTTTCGGGGGACTTTGGCCAGACTGCATCAGCAGTTTACAAACAATCGAAGGAAACTTATTTGAAGATGCCCCCTCCCCCCAATTCCCAGTAAACAGGCCAGACCACATCACAGTAATCTCGTGAGTGGGTTCTTTAACGTCCCCTGCCTAACCAAATTAACTAATTAATAGATGCAGGAGACGGGACCTACGGTTTATTCGTCCTTATCCGAGAAGACTAGAATGTCTATCCATTTCTTGATATTATAGAAAGGTAGCGCATTCTCCTCAGTTATTTTAAGACCTTGAGTGTTGGTCCGGCCGGGGCTCGAACCATCGACCTCGACCTCCCGCACAACAGTCCAGCGCTCTAACCAATTGAGCTAACCGGGAGGCGGTGGTAGANGAAAAGTCACTGTTTTTCCGATCTGCCTAACTTCGCGGCCGTCAAACTATTCAAAACTTTTCACGGATGAGTACTATCAATCCAGGTATTTTCCGCGGACGGGCACTATCCATCCGGGTATTTTCCGCGGGCGGGCACTATGGGCTGATAGTGTCTCTCCACGGATGAACACTATCGCGTCACGTGATCGATTTAAACCAATAAGAACCGGAGAAAATTTAGTAGTGAACTATAATTCTCAGTAAACAGGCTAGACCAAATCACATTAATCTCGTGAGTGGGTTCTTTAACGTCCCCTGCCTAACCAAATAAACTAATTAATAGATGCAGGAAAATGCAACAAAAAGGAACGACCATATCAGTGAGACCAGCAAAAGAATGAAAGAGAGTGAAATTCAGGACATAGAATTAGTACAGACACTAAGAAAATCATCTTTCATTTTGGAAAAGCTTTGTCTCATTACAAAGCTGGAAAAATGGCTATAAAGCAGGATGAGCCTTGATCAATGAGCCAAGCTGATGATGAGTTTCAACTATCACTCATGTTTGAACGTGAACTATCTAGCACTTTTATTGACCATGATTATCATGTAGTTTGGACAGGTTCAAATACAACAGAATAGTTAATGATGGTGTTTGCTCTTTGAACAAGCGATGATAATGAGTAATGCTTTTTCAGTCACCAGTTTTGCCAAAACATGGGCTCAAACTGAAATGGCAAATGGTAAAATTACTAAATTAGCTGTAAAGATTTTGGTAGAATGTCTCGTAGTTCAATCTAACCATCTCCTGGTAAGCTTCAGTATACCCTGCAATCTTCCACTCACAACTTGTTGCCTAAAATTTCAAATACCACTGAAATTACTGACCTCATTGCACGATGCTGTCAACTATCATCAACTATCATCAACTATCATGAACAGTTTAAACTCAAACACTAAAGTAAATGTTGAAACTAGTCATGTATCATTCACTATCACCACCTAAATGTATCATGACCCTTTCAACAGGGCTTTTTATGCTCAGTTAGAACAGTTATTTGTAAGGAAGGCATCTTAGCAAGCCTTTCTCATTGGAATGGGAGAAATGAATAAATGCAAGGAATGAGAAGTCTTAAAATGCAGCCACCAAACAAGGGAAAAGATATTTAAGCATTTGTCATAGCTCTGAAAGGCAAGAGAAGTCAGTAGAGGCTCTTTTTGATGAAAGCTGGGTCAAAATTATTTTCTAAGCTTTCTAAGTTATTTAATAAGAATCAAATACTGTGTAATACCGGCCCCCCCAAGCTTTTGTCTCCAGAAAAAGTAAGAGATTGATTTCCAAAAGCATCACACCTCGTGTGATGCAGTGTTTAGTTATGCAAAGAACTACTGAGTATGCTTACTCAGTCCTTGTGTTTCCATTAAGATTTCTAGCAATCTCTGCCACTTTGGGCTTCCTTTGCCATCACTGTTATTCCTGATAAACGACCCAAACAATAATAATCATATCATCACCTACAGAAAGTAGAAGTTAGAAAGCTCACAAAATCACAAGATTCATAACAACAGGTACAGCTTTTTATTGCACTTACCTTCAGGCACATACTGTCCAATTTAAGTGTAAATATCTATCTTGTCTTCTTTGCCATCTTTCCAATGCAAGTAAATTAATAAGGTTCTTTTCAAAGAACATTTCACAATCGACAGGTATGAAAAGCATTGTAAACATATACGAAAAAGCAGAACTCAGCCTGGGGCATAACAAAACTCCTCAACGCCCACGCTTGACGATGCATCTTCCCGAGAGACCAGTAACAACAATAACAGCTCAATAAAACTACGAAAAGCTTCATGTGCCACAATCCAAAAAAGCCTGAAGAAAGCCCAAGTGGGTTACCTACTCAATCACCCCCCACAGCCACAGTAGTCCTAGCCACGGATCAAGGCAGATCAAGCCAAACCTGAAGTCAGAATATATACAAGACTTCTAAACTGGGATATTCCCCTTCATTTCCAAGAATTGCAGCACAAAGAACATTACACAATATTAACGAGGAAATTCAACATGTGGCCTTCAACAGTCCAACACTCCAACCACTTCAATCTCAGTAAATTTGTAGTCTTCTTGTAGAAACAAGCAAACCAGTGAAAAACAACCAAGAACTGGGCTCCAAGACAGCAAGACTGAAACACTATCAAGAGAATATGAACTTCAAGCCGAGATGTGGCCGTGTTAAGTACTTAACCTATTATCCAGACAAATAAAAGCTCCTTAATTAAAGGAGCTAATATCAATTACTTCAGCTTCATCATTAAGAATACTGGCCCACTGGTTACTCAAACCCTCTTAATTTGTTCATGAGGCTCAATTCTCTTTCCTGGAATCACCATACCATTGGATTTAAGTACAATCACTGTATAGTGAATTCTAAATATAAGACACAATATATTCCTGTGTGTACAATAAAGTTACTTTAATTTTGTGTTTCTTTTATGCTTTGATGGTTTGATTTTGACTGACTTAGGAATAACAGAACCAGTAAAACAATGGTGACAAAAATCTTGCCATTATTTATATAATTACTTCAATGCCCTCCATCATTATGGAAAGTCCATCAAAATCTGGCTGTGTTCATCATCTAACTGAGTTTTCTCTTTCTCTTCTTTGATTTTGAAAACTGTGTAGTATGTACAATGTCTACAAAGTTATTTCAAGTCCGTGATTTTACCCACAGCTTACTTCATCATGTATGAGCTTGGATAGAGAGGATGTCATGAGGAAAAAACAGTGCTGTTTTACTCGATGACAGACTGGTCAAGTAAAATAAATGTTAAGAGTACAACAAGAAGAATCAACATATTTACTAGTTGACTGTAAGCTACCGTGATGAGCTTTAGTAATTAAAACTTGAGTCAAAACTGTTCACCCATACTAAAATAACAGATGATGCTTCGCCTTGGGTAATAAATTGAGTCTTTACTTGGACAAGATTTTTCTCCCTCACTGTCATTTAACCAAGTATAACTATGAGTGAGCTGAAGATAAATTTGAATAATTGATACCCACCTATTTAACCCACTAGTTGAACTTGACAATGCCTTACTCGATACAATGATCTTGTCTTGTTCCAGAAAATATCCTAAACAATTTACACACAATTATTCCATGAAGGATGTGGACCAAATACGATAACAAAAAGCCCTCTTAGGCTTTGAATGTTGCCCTATTTTCACAAATGACATTAAAAAAAAATTGCATATATAACTGTTTATATAGTATATGCATTAGAGCACATGTTATGAGCAAATTTTAATTATGAATATAAGCCCAAATTAACACTCGGAGGTTCAATGATGTAAAGTACCTTAGTGACTGTATTTGAATTTTCTATTCAGTCAGCTCCTACAAGTACAATGAAAATGCACCTTCCATCTCTTAACAATGGCAATAAAATAGGGGGGGCAGAGATGGCAGGGAGTATATAAAAATTAAGAAAGAAGACTCTATAAACACAAACCAAAATTTTAAAGTGATTTGAGGTCAATTAAGTGAAGGCAAATACATTTTTTGATTCCTTTTTGGATTGAAGCTCCATCAACAAGGCTCGAAATTAACTTTTTCGTTTGGGAGCCAGCTGGTGACTGACGGAAAAATTTTGGTTGCCAGATTGTAAATTTTGGTCGCCAGCTTAATTTATCTATAACTTACACAAAAACACGATTTTATACCTTACTTTCCACACAAGAAAAGTCACAATTGAAGAGTGAAAACAATTGGAAACAACAGGATTAACACTTGCAGGGATGTGGATAATAGCTGGAACCTGGGAAAATTACCTAACAGTGAACGTGATATTTTCGGCTTTAAAGCTCTACTTCTCCAAATTGTTCAACTGATTTGTATCTGACGCCATTTTCGCGGTAAATGAACAGCACAGAACAGCAGATGGTGTTAAAGGGCGCCTGCGATCCCAGTTTCAAGAGAAGCCATTGAAACAATATGGCGCACCATGAACACGGTATCAACGTGTCTAAGTTTTGTCTTCACCCAGCAGCTTGATTGGAATGATCATAACAAAGACATAAGATGCAAATACTGCTGCTCATCTCAAAATTGGTGTGTCTTGTGGACTGAATACTTCATTCAAGCAATACAAATTGATGCATTGTTAATCATATATTTCTCTACATTCTGACTCACCATTAATTGAGACCCCTCTGTTGTTTCTTGCAGCTCTAGACAGACATTCACTCCTACAAAATGTCCAGAATCAAAGCCTCTGTGAGCCAACTCATGAATTGGATAAGCCAATGTAATTTGTGTCGTCAATAGAAATGAGTGTTTGATTTCCATACTAGGGTATGAATTGTTAGACTGGTAAATGAGCATTATGAGGAATATGATGTGAAACTAAATTAGGCCTCAAAGACAGAAAATATGGCCTGATTAGGATTTAGTGCAAGACAAGTCACTGTTCCAGATTTTACTGTAACGGTTTGTGGAATGAAAGTTCAAAAGGGTGCTGTTTTGTTTATCATAAAACTATTGTTCCAATATTGAGCTCAGTATTTACTTGCGATGCAAGCATAGGGATAGGCATGTAAAAGCTTGTGTGCTGGATGGAACGCACGGACCTTAGGATAAGCATAATTATATCCATAAGATTATCAAAACATTGCCTTCTTTGATAAGCATAATTATATGCATGAGCTTATCAAAATGTTGCCTTCTTTTTATGCTTATACTGTCTAGTTAAGACTTGGTTGGCATAAGCGTAAGGATTAACATAAGCGAAACACTTTCAGGCAATCAGCAAGCACTATACTGCTTATACCAACCATATCCCTATTTAACATAATATTGACTGAGCGCTTGTGCTCATGTTTATGCTGCAGCTGTGCCCACCTGTGCATTAGCTTATGTTCATGCCTATGCTTGTGTTGCAACTGAGTACTGTGCTTGAAGCCTGTTTCGCACTTCTGAGATAATTATTAGCATGAGGATGAAAACAAGTACAAGGATGTTCACACCACTCTAAAGTCTATGTTTTTCAGAATTCTTATTGTAAGTCAGTGAATACTCAAAACAAGGATTTTTTCCTTAATTTGAGAGTCAATTCCTTGAAAAGTAAGGATCAAGATTTCTGCTTTTAAGAATTTGATACTCTGCAATGAAAGTTCCTCAGTTTAAGAATACCAACATTAAAAATAAGATTTACATTCTTTGTTTTAAGAATTATGACTTTGAATTCTCATTTTAAGGGTATTTCCACAATTGAATAAATATCTCAAATCCTTGCTTTTAGCAAGTATTCATTTTATGTAGAAAGGTTCTTCTTCCGACTAGATTTATGATAAATGCTTGCCAAAATTTCAGAAATATCTGTGGAATTGTGCTTGTCAAATTCCCAAGGAAATATAACTAAATATAGTTTGAAAAACTTTTTTACATTAATTTTTCATTCAACACACTCAATATCTGTGATTCATGAAACAAGACAACAGTTTTGAGTGTTCCTAGTTTACCCTACATATAAAGCATTAGGGATATCCTTGTTACATGTAATTCACAAAAATTTTTAATTTCAAATGACAATCAAAGTGGTTGTCAAAATAAAATTAATCATAAATTTATAACTTCCAGAAGAATAAGCATGGAATGCAAACTGCTACCATTTGTAATTTTTACTTACAATCATGTGATTATTATATGAAAAATTACTGAACCAGAGGAAAGAATCTCAAACTAAATGTAAACCACTTGTTGACAGAAGTAATTATAGTCATACACCAGCAAGGATATTCATCCTTGTAAAGGGATTGTTGTTGTCACTGTCAACTTATTATTGTTATAATCTTCAATATGATTCAAAAGAAAAGTTGCTGTATCAATTTTTTGAAGACTGTGTCATAGGTGTAAAGCCTCTACGACGAACATTTAGGTACAGGCAAATCTGTAACAAGATTTTTGACAAAGAGAAAGAGTAACCTTCAATACGATTCAAAGGAAAGGCTACTATACCTATTCCTTGAGAAATTTGTGTATTATACTGTTTTTTTTTTAGTATTGGTAAATCTGCATGAAGATTTTTACTGAATACATGTAGTTAAAATTTCAGCATATTAAGTTAACATGTAGCTGTTCGATTCCCTGAAGAATTGGTGTTAGGTATAAAGCCATGTCACTTTGCTGTACATTTGATACACATCAAATGAAGTGAGGTGTAACTTAAGTCTTGCTTCAAAATAAAACTTGCTGCTGTGCATGTATCTTAAGTTCAAAATAATGTAAAACATTTTAAAGAAAGCACAACTTGGGTTTATCATGTCAGATTAAAAGTTGTTGTTGAGTTTGTAGTATGGCCTGGCTAACCTGTGTTACATGCACAAAATATTGATAGAAAGAACCACTTCCTGGAGTTAAGATCCTTGTCTCAAGGACATAGGGATGATGTATTATTTAACAATCTTTGAGGAGTAAGTGCTCTCTTTTGAGATCTTTAGTTACTCATTTTGAAAAAAATAGGTCTAACTATGAGAAACTTCAGTCACCTTAAGGTAAGGACTCTGCTATCAGTTTTAGGCAGTATTTGTCACTCACCGTCAGTGCATATTCCTTGTTTTGAGAACTGATAATTACACTCACTTTGAGTGATATCAATCCTCATCTTTCGAACTTTCTGTTCCTCACTCCAGGATGCATTTTTAAG